TTTTTAATCTACCGCTCATTCGAAATGCTGTCTCATCACAAGAAGAACGAGCAAGAAACTTGCTTGTATTATATGGCCTAGAATCTAGATACTTAAGATACAAAAATTACAATAAAATGTATATTCGCTGAGATAATTAAAAAGGTATTTTAAATTCAAATATTTTATAGTTAATAAAACGAACCCCACTAAGTTTAAAAAGCAAAACAAACTTCAATATTGGTTTACCGGACTGAATAAACACTAACCGCTGCCCCAGGCGCCGCCCGCACTGATGAATATTAAACAGACACAACAAACAGACAGTCAAACAAAGAGGCAATTAGCCTGAGGCTACTCGGACATACGATATGAACATGTGGTTTATATTTGATTAATTCTTTAAATTAAAAAAAATGTGTACTACTCCAGACTGATTATATAACTCTAGTCTGTCTGTCTGTCTCTTACCTTGTCATAATCATAGGCATTTATTCATGATACAATAATACAAATGTGTTTCAATATAAATAATAATAATATCTCAGGACAACTTACACAGCGCCATCTAGTCCCAAGCTAAGCAGAGCCTGTGTTATGGGTACTACACAAGTGATATACAATACATAAATACATACATACATACATTATGATACTTTTTTTTTTGTAAATCGATACTTAATGTATTTATATCAGTTGTCCCATAACACAAAAGAAGGAAAAATACATATGTTGTGAATAGATCAAAACATAAAAAATTAAAACGGAAGAAAAAATGAGCATACATACCAACAAACACAAATTAGTAAATAATAGTTCTTCCACAACAGAAGCTCTGCTTAGCTTCAGACTAGATGGCGCATTATATTTGTTTTTCTTTTTAATTATTATTAATTAATTAATTTATAAAATATAAGTAATTTATTATTATTAATTAATTAATTGTCTTTCATTATAATTATTATTATTTTAAAGACAATTTATACATCAACTAGTTAGTAATAATAATAACGGCGGCAACGATGTAATAATAATAATAATTATTATTGTGAATGTATAAATTGTCTTTAATTATAATAATAATTATTATTATATCGTTGCCACCGTTATTATTATTACTAACCAGTTGATTGGATTGCTGTAGGGAGGGGGTGAAATCAGAATTTCGGGAGATTTCCGTAGATGCGGGATTACTTGTTGATTGTAATGGAAATTAACGATCTAGGGGAGATACCGTTAAGCATGTCATTCCGCTATTAATATGCGGTGTTCGATTACTTCAAATTAATGTGGTTTTTTTAATGGGTGGTAATGGAATGCACCCGCCTGAGCTACGGTATACGCTGGTGCAACACCAGTGGAGGATGATAAGATGCTTCTTGTCATCTACCACTGGAACTCAAATTTAGAACAGCAGTTTTACATTTGACGTAAATAATTAAAATGGAAATAATTTTTATTCAAATAAACTTAATATAGTAAATAACGGAATGACTGCGAATAGAGATGAATGGAAGAGAAAAACATATTACGCCGACCCCAAATAAATCTGATAAGGAAGAAGCAGATGATGATGTCGATGATGATGAAACTTAATATAATTAAATTTATTTCTATAACAATTATTTCTATATCTTAATCAATATTTATCATTATTTGCGTTAGCAAAGTGCATTAGATATTTGTTCTTAATAATTCTATTTATTTATACACTTTATTGAAACTATTACATACAAAAAAATAATTAAAATAGTAAATATACAAAATTGATACAAAAGGAGGTTATGTCGCTAAGCAATCTCTTCCAGACTATCTTTGGGTGGATAGAAAAAATAAAAATAAGGAAATGTTAGGTGGTGCAGGTAATAAACAAAAATAAATATATATGTATATAAATATACATAACATAATGAAATTTTGTACACATGTTCTTGGAGGTATTAGAATGATTTACTTTTATTAAAAAAAAAAAAACCACATATTTTATTATAAAATAACAAAAAAATAAAATAACAGCATTTCACTTGCTATAAAGTGTATTCATCATATTGATAATTGTAATGATGAAATTGTAAAAATGTAATGAATTTCTATTGTAATGAACTCCGATACTTATTTAATGGATTCAATGCGAGCAAAACCGCGGGTGAAAGCTAGTATTAACATATATAATACAACATATGATACATAAGGTGTATAGTCATCGCCATTTTACCTATCATTGTTTGTTTATTTCATTATTTGTGCATTGATATTTTAATAAATAAATGAAAGTAAGGAATCTATTTTCTTCTATAATGAGTATACCAATATAATTTAAGCCTATTCACACATAAAGCAATGCAACAAGCGCGACAGTCGACAATGCACCCGAAACTGATGGATTATCACGGCTTGCCCCGGGGCTAAATACGGCCATACTGCGATGGGGTTGGCATGTTGGATTTGTTGGTACAAGCCACTAGTCAACCTAAGGATATTGAATGTGTTAAGTCTATTAAAAGTTATTATTGTTAATTTATTTTATCATTTACTACCATGACAACCGAATGCTTGTTAATGTCGTTGTATAAAAAACACAAAACTGGCATAACTTAGTTATATGTTTATGTTTATCCAACAAATATTTAATATATTGTGTGTTTAATATTTAACTCTAATAAATTAGTACTAGTTGGTAGTTTGTATTTACACATTTCGACTTAAAAAATTAAATTTACAACGATTATTTAAAAGAGCAACACGTAAGTTTTTGCCTGTTTTTCTTGTAATGAGACAGCTTTTCGAATGAACTGTAGATTCAAATTCAAATTTAAAATATCTTTATTCATGTAGATCTATTACAGACTCTTATGATATGTCAAATATACCACCAGTTCGGAATGATTTCAAGATGAGAAAAACTGACAAGAATCTCCGCTCGTATTCTTTTAAAATAATTATACATGTTTACAATAATACAGATTCATTTGAATTCAAATTGGGGAGAATAAAGTGACTATCAGCATATGCTGTTGCAAAAAACAAAAAATCGAATCAGTGATCGCAACCTGAACAGACCAGTCCCCACAAGCAACAACCGTTCACGAGTATGACGGAGAGATTATATTTTTTTTTACCATCGACAGTTAGTTTCAATTATTTATGTCGGTTAAAGTTAATAACCCAAATTTATTTCGGAAGTCAATTTCCTGCCACTGTTTTGTAAATCTCTAATGGCAAATAACCCGTGACGAATATTGATTTGTTCTAGAGGAGTATTTTAATTTGTGTGTTTGTAAGTTGCTCTGTATCTACTTATATAGTTTTTTTTTTATTAGTTAAAGAAGTAATACACGAATAAATTATTCTTTTTATTGTTATAAATAAGAGATTTATTGCATTTTCATTCATTGCAATAGCAATCAAAATTGTAATAGCATATGCTGGTAGTCACTGTAAACATGTACAACCATATTTGAAAAGAATAATAGCTGAGTTTCTTATCAGTTCTTCTCATCTCGAAATCATTCCGAACTGACGGTAGATTTGACATATCATAAGAGTCTGTAATAGATCTACATGAATAAAGATATTTTGAATTTAAAACTAAAATCCTTAAAAAAATATAATATATTAACTAAAATATATTATTAAAAGGTGTTGAGAGCAACACATAAGTTTCTTGCTTATTCTTCTTGTGATGAATCTGCAGTCCGAATAAGCGGTAGAATAAAAAAAAACTTGACTATTCAAAAGTGCTTATATTAAGTTTATTTGAATAAAGATTATTTCTATTTCTATTTCTAGTATGTCCTATTAGGCAAGGTTCCGAAGATACTGGCAGCGTTGAACTTGAATTTGAATTAAAAGATATAATGATAACTGGTGTAAAAGAAATTACAATTTCTCATACTACTAATTTTGAAGTCTTTTGCTACGACATCCACTATTTTAATATTTAATAAACTGTAAGCTAGTAAAATTATAACTAAACACATACATTATATTACAAACCGTTACGAATTTTCAATGCAAACATTAGTTTACGTAACTCGATCCAAACGGGTGCCCCCTTTCCACTATTCGCCTGTACCACCTTTATTCCATAGCAATAAGAACTGATTTCGTTAGTAATTATGTAGGTCGATTCCCAAAGATTCCGAACAATGGACATTCATAGGGGTGCGACTACCATTCACAACTTTTCGCTCTTTAGCGGCCATTGTTCCAATTTGATTTATATTCATTTCTTTTATTATTACTCAGTAAATCAAGTGTTCAGCTCTATATACGTTTAATTGGGAGTTGAGCAAAAAATCGACGAACTCAACTGTGGTTTGGGACCATTAACTGGTATAACAGAACGTTTTAGCAGCATAAATTATATGAATACTTCTATTCTATTTTATTATATATGTTGATGCTTTTCAACAGTTATATTCTAAACCAGTGTATCCCAATCATCATTCCCTACATTAGCCTTTCTAAAACATTAAAAAATTGAATTGTTCATTTAAGAAACTTAAATAATAGGTAGGTTTTAGGAACAAATCACTAGGAAATTGTTAATGAAATGGTAAGTAAATTTTTAAGACATGTAATGAAAAATTAACACATTATATTCACATTCCATATAATTTTAATAAAGAGTCCATTTTCGAATTGCCCTCTTAATAATAAATTATCCCCTTTAACAAATGTTATTTTAGCATCAAAAATCCATTGTTGAAATTATTAGAAACTTACACTAACATTGTTGAAAATCAACGATGAACCTTTTACAAATTCGGAAGGTTCACTCCTATCATGGAAGAGAGCAGAATAAAATAAAAGCAAATATATCAAAATAAATTTATTTAAAATTTTACAATAATGACTAGTTATAAACTTTGGTATATCCAACTTAAACTACGTATAAATCCTTACAGTTATTGTCTTTAAATTCACATTATCAATTCCTTCAAATATAAAAATTAGAAAATATAGTGACTAGTTTTTTATACACATCATTATACATTGTTAGAAATATATAGAATAAATTAAATTTGAGCATTTACTACATTATTGGTTCTGTTATAAAAATTTCTATAACATCTTTGGTCATTATAATATGAATTATTTTGACCATAGTAATTATCAATAAAATGTCTCTCGTTATATCCATACATAGAATTGGTGTATGGCTCGTAATTACTTGAGTAATCTTCACTTCTTGTCGGTCTTTTATTTTTAGCATTTTCAAAAGCGGTTTTAAATATTTCATAGTTTGTATTATTGAAATATTCTTCTGAACCATTATGTATATTTGAATTATAAGTGTCATTAGTACTTTTACAAGGTGAAAATTGTCTTTGATTATAACAAGTTTGTTGAATTGTGTCATCTCCGAAACTAGAGGGATTTGTAAAAAATCCACTTCCAGTCGTAGATGTTATGCAATTGCCGCCTTTATTGTTAACCGAAACTGTAACATTCCCAACATTTATCAGTACACCCTCAGGAGTCTGCATGAAATTAGACCCATTCGGAAAGGGTCTACTGAATCCTTGAAAACATCTATAACTACCATCATTGTTATATTCCTCAGTTTTATTGGGTACAAGAAATATTTCCCTAAACGCATCTTTGGTTATTTTTTCACCTGTGATAGAGTAATTTTGTAACTTTTCGTAATTCAAAGCATATCCTTCAGGTGGTATTTGTCCAGGATTTACATTATCTAGAGATTCTAAGGTTTGGCTAAGAGCAAAAATATAATTATGTGCAAATCTTAAGGTCTCTATTTTTGTTAGCTTCGTGTCTTCTGGAAATGTTGGTAGAACACACCTGAGCCGGTCTAACGCTTCATTTAACATATGCATTCTGTTTCTTTCTCTATCGTTAGCCTTCATTCTTCTATTCCTCTTTATTTTCATTATTTGTGTTGGACTTTTGGATCTTGTCACCCTATTCTTGCCATTAGCATATTTTCTTTTCGGTTTATTTGGATCTCTTGGTTTTCTTTCTCTAGATTTTATAGGAGTTGAAGTATTGTTATTTTCATGCATGTTTTCTTCAAATTTCTTCATGTCCACTGAATCTTGATAAGAGTATTCGTAGTTATCAGCAAATAGTTTCCTACGGACATTGGGTTCTTTTTTGGTTGGTGTGAGAGATACTCCCAAATCTATAGTATCATTTTTTATGGGTGTGCTGTTAACTGATACTGGAGTAGCCGATGAATCTACGTAGGACCTTTCAAAACCCGAATCATTGCTGCAGATACTATCGTTAAAATCGCAAAAATCTTCAAAACTAGTGCTGAACATTTTGGAGATCTGAAAAGAAAATAATATATTGTCAATAATTTATGATAACATATAACTAGTAAACAATAACTTTAGTGATAATAAAACTGTATTTTTATTAAGACAAACTAATTAAGATTTATTAAGTAATTAACCAATTTATTTAAAAGAGCAACACGCAAGATTCTTTCTCTTCTTTTTGTAACGAGAAAGAGACGGAATGAACGGTAGATTAAAAAAAGAGTTTCATGATGAGCAACATTTTCTTGTTTAATACAAGATTTTGCTTTGTATACTATTTGATCAACTTATAGAATATAGGAAAATACGTATAAATGTATATAGATGGATGCGAACGGAATGGCTGTCTAGTATAAAGTGATTCAAAGATATTGCTATTTAATTGTGTATATCCTTTATTTATAGGCAACTTTGTGATAAAGTAATCAATAAATAAAAATGTTAAATATTGCTGGATGATGTAGAAGCGAACTACCGTTCTCTCCTAGAAACGATGATCCGATTTTCTATTCAAATAAAGTTACTAGAAGTTAAAACTTACTAGTATATTTGAATAGAAAATTTTCTATTCTATTGTAATATCTCTTCTGTGATTCTACTATCCTTACTAATATTATAAAGCGAAAGCAACTCTGTCTTTCTGTCAGACAATCTATCTCGCTGTTACGCCTAAACTACTAAACCGATTTAAATGAAATTTGGTACACAGATAGTCTAGACCCTGAGAAAGGTCAAATGCTACTTTTTAATACGAAAAAAACGTTGTATGGGGTGGGAAGTGAAGATAAAAAAGAATGGAAATATCGTAATTTTTAAATTAGAAGCTTCAAACTTTTTGTTTTTTATACAACTTAGGTGGCAAACAATTTTCTAAGCTGTTAATTAAATATAACATTCGAATATTGTAAAATTACCACTTAAGGCGTCAAATAAAATAGGAAATGCTTTGAAGTCATTTTTGATGATAGAACGATGAAACTTTTTTCTTTGACTTTTTTGGTTAAGGTCACTATTGCACGCGGATGAAGGCGCGGGTACAGCTAGTAATTTATATATATGTACCTTATGTCCAAGTGCACCCTACTGTTTGTCCCAATATAATTACGTGTCTAACCGTGACAGGTGAGACACCCTAGCACCCGATTGCGTGACTAGTAAGTCAGTTGAACTTTATCACTTCCTATTTCCGCCAGATTTCCGATTTGGGGTTTGTTTGTGACTCCAGTGTTAACATTGCAGGCATTTGTTGTCCAGTGACAAATAATTGCTAAATGACGATTTTGTACTGTGTTATAATAATATGGAAATACTTATAATAAATATGCTATATTTTGTAAAATACATACACAATACACCTTTACAGCCTTTACAACTTTACAGGTGAGAGCAGAAGGCACTCGAAATATACGGAAGGACTTATAAAGCGACTGAAAGCCAACTCCTGCCTGATGGATACGACTTTTCCGAAGGGCATCGCTAGGGATTCTTGTTTCAGCTCAGACTGTCGTAATTTGGATCTCCATTTGAATAGTACAAAGGATCGATCGGAAGGGCATTTCACAGATGTTTGACCATCTATGAATATTTTAATTAGGAATGTACCTAAATATCTATTATACATATAAATAAAATTGGAGTGTGTGTTTGTAATATTGAAATAACCGTTTTTTACTACATACATATGACTCTAAATACTGTACATACACCAAAATAATATTTTTTACAATTTTTGTCTGTCTGGCTGTTAGTTCCGGCTAATCTCTGGAATGGCAGATTTTTTTTATTTTTTTTGGCCGGTAACGGATAGCTAATAAGGAGTAATTTAGGCTACTTTTTTTGTTAAATTTCACAATTTATCGCGGGCACATCCAGTTTATTATAAATGAAATAAGAAACAATTAAACGTTACATAATCAGGAGCTAGATATCTTAATAGTTGTACACTTGTGCTGTAGAGAGGGTGGGTCACCACCTGCCGCACGCGACTAACACGCGACCGTTTGCCGACGGCGCCCACCCAACCGTGGCGACGTCGAGAAGTTAATGAGCTTACAATTAATTTCTAGTTACTATACAATATTTGTATTTATGGCTTATAGGTGAATTATGGAATAGTGCATGGATTGAGTGCATTAAACAAATTTTAATAATTCTCTCTTTTATTAATTTTCTCAGACGTATCTCAGTTTATAGCCGACCGTGGCTACATCGAGAAGTTAGTGAGTTTACAATTAATTTCTAATTACTATACAGTATTTGTAAAAATAGCGTATAGGTGAATTATAGCGTTGGTGAATGGATTGAGTGTGTTAGAGTAATTTTAATAATTCTCTCTTTTATTAATAGACAGACATATATCAAAATACCTTTGTTCATGTAGGTCTATTACATACTCTTATGATATGTCGAAGATTACCGTCAGTTCGGAGTATTAATCATCTTAGACTATGTATAGTATATAGTTAATCAATCAAAATATCTTTATTCATGTACTTCTATTACAGACTCTTATGATATGTCAAAATCGGAGAGCATTTGAGCTAAAAAGAACTGGCAAGAAACTCAGCAATTATTCTATTCAAACATGCTTGTACTTGTTCACAAAAATACAGATCCATTTTTAAATAAACAATTAGGCATATAGAAAACTACATGCCCGCCCCGGCTTCGCACGGGTGTACATGTAATCACAGATAAGATATATTACGTAATATACATATAAAGCTTCAACTTGAATTACATACTCTATCCATTGCTAAATATTGCTTCAAAATCCGTTGCGTCTTTTAAAAGATATTAGTGAACAGAAACTGGTTGCGACTTCAGTTTATACTCAGGACCAGGATTCTAATGAAATTATTTACTTGCGAAATATTCGATCTACTTGATATAAAAATAGATAGGTATAGAAATATATATATTTATTTATATGTATATAAATAAATATAAGAAATAGAAAGTTGTTACATAAATAATTGATCTGCAATATTTACCACAATAGGTATGGAAATTTTAAGAAACTATTTATTTATGTAGAATATTGTTGAACACTAATATTATTTAAATGTAAACTCAACAATTCTTACATTCTTGAGTTTACGTTTAAATAATAATAAATAAATAATATATGTACATAAAATGTATATGTAACTTTAAATTGATTCATTTACAACATATACACGTAAAGGCGAATTATAGCATATAATTAAGAGACTAGATACTTGAATATTTCTTACGTAATAGTTACTTTACTTTGACATTTAGGTACTTAACTTGAAATTTTATTCGTTTAAAAGTTAGAGAAAATTGTTAAAATCGAAAAATAAAATTTGCCAATAAAATAATATGCTATTAAAATACCAAATTTTTATTTGAATGTAGACTCTATTGAATTTATTTACTTTTAATCTTTATTATTATTTATTATACTATTGTTAATTGATTGTATTTAATTTTCAACCTTGAATTCTTACCTCGTATATATATAATTTCCTAAAACTTTTAATCACAACACTAGAGTGTTCACACTCGCACACAACACTATTATAATTACAGAATGTATATTAAAAAAATAAAAATTTATTGTCTAATTTTAGTAGAACATAAAGTCTATTTTGTCCATGACTAGACTGGGGAGGCGCTGTGCTCCCGCGCGTGCGTAGAATTGCACTATGGGATGGGACACCATGCACCCTGTTATATGTGGAAAAGGGTCGTAGGTGAAGTACCGTGTACGCCCACCGCTAGGGCCTTGTTGGGGATACTTTATAAATAATAAACGGAGAAAATACAAGATCAAATATAAATTGAAATAAAATATTTTTAGCGCATTTTTCTTTGGTTAAATCCCAGAATAAAAAAAAACCAATTCTACAGTGGTTAAAATGTGGTTACTATTCTTTATATGTATACGGTTTCCCTTTTTGAACATAATAGGCAAAAACCGATTTTTTGCGCATTTTTCTTTGGTAAATCCATAATCCCAGAATAATAATAAAAAATAAAAACAATTAAATAGTGGGTAAAATGAGTTCACTAGTAGTAAACTCATTTTAACAATATTTTAAAAACCTGTGTACATACAAAGTTGTAATACACAAAGGCCTCGGTAGTCTAGCGGTTTAGCACACCACCTTAGTATTCATGGTCGCGGGTTCGATTCCTCGCATAGTACATACATTTGTATTCATGAGTTTGTACTGGTAATTTATATGTCTATCTCTATTTATATATGCATTTACAAAAAAATATATTTAAGTTTATACTGGACAAGGTGTCTGTTTGTACACATGTATCATATTTTCAGATCATCACATACTGTGTTTTCTAAGAATTATATAATGACTGATATATATATATATATGGCATTCCTAATAAAATACTGAATTAACTAAAAAATTATAAACTTTGGAAAAACCACTCTAAATATTTACGTTTTAAGTCCAAAGTTAAACAATTTGACATCTTTAATTTTTAGTAAACCCGATTGTAGTTTTGCGATATGTACATATTAAAAATACAACATATGCGAAGAATATTGCAAAATAGCAACTTGCATTAAACGGTTTGATTTGTTTAATAGGTTAATAGTGCGTGAAAATGTCTCATTTTTTATTGCCAACCCTTTTATCGATATCGACATGCAATAAATTATATAAATATTTGATCAGACACGGACTCGGCGCACATCAAAATGTGCCGAGTTGTAGGGTCACGTGGTTATTGAACATTTTGTTTTTTGTTTTTAGAAAATTTAAAAAAGTAACGTTAAAATCACCAAAAAATTTGTTATTTGCTAATGTAAACTGTTATTTAAAACTTTTGTATAGATATACTGTTTCATTGTGTTTTATAAATACTAGCGACTCACCCGGCATCGCACGACGTACCTAAACAAATATTGTAGAGATATCTATTTTTTGAAGTTTGCAGATTAATACCAAAAAAGACCAAATCTTATCTCTTTATGACATTATTTCAGATTTTTTTTAATGGATGAT